GCATAGAGTGAGGTTCAAGTATTTTCCATTAAAGTAGTATGTACATAGGGATGTGTGATATCACCATGGTTGTTTAACATATAGATGGGGTAAATGTAAATGCAAAGGTATTGAGGAGAGGTGTGGAATTTAAAAATAATGAATCATATATGAAGTGGTAATTGCCACAGTAGCTCTTTTTCTGATGACACAGTTATTTTAGGAGATCTTGAAAAGAAGTTGCAGGGTTGGTGGGTGAACTTAAGAGGGTATTTAAAAAAAAAATTAATTAAAAGTGAACATAGAAAAAATGCAAGGTGATGAGAGTAATAAAAATTCTAGGCAATGAAAGATTGGATATCAATTTGGAGGAATGTATACATATTGAAGTAAAGAATATATTTTAAATATTTGGAAAAGGACATGTTGCCAGATAGGTCTATGAAAGACAACAACCGTTAAATCAAGGGTTTACTTTTTATTAAAGGATGCTAACTATTAAGCATGTATCTCTCAGAAAAAAAAAATCAACTTGAAATTATATTGAATAAATAAGGCATTCAATTTACAGTACAGTGGACCCCCGCCTTACTAACGCATAGCGTTACGTTAAATCCGCCATACTAAGCATTTGAATGCAAAAATTTTGCCTCGAATCGCGATAAAAAACTCGCTTTACGTGATTCGTCCGGGACGCGTCCCTTGTGTGGCCTCAGCACCAGTGTTTACAAGCCAGCCAGTGCGGTTGCATCCACACATACATTCAGTACAATTCACCTTATCCCAGTGTTTTTTGTGCTTGTAACTGCAAAATAAGTCACCATGGGCCCCAAGAAAGCTTCTAGTGCCAACCCTGTGGTAAAAAGGGTGAGAATTAGTATGGAAATTAAGAAAGATTTTGAAGGGTTTGAGGCTAACCCTGAGAAGCCTATGCCATTTGTGGAATCCATTGTGCCTACTTCAAAGATTAAGGAAATGTGTGCAAAGTGGGTTGAAGTGCAAACCTTTGTGGATGAAAATCACTCTTAACACAGCTATTGGAAGCTGTGCTGGTGACTATTACAATGGCAATGTTGTGGCCCATTTTAGGCAAATCTTAAAGGAACGGGAGGTACAGACCTCTATGGACAGATTTGTTGTGTGACAGAGGTCCAGTGACTCTCAAGCTGGTCCTAGTGGCATTAAAAGAAGAAGGGAAGTAACCCTGGAAAAGGACTTGCTACCTAAAGTCCTAATGGAAGGGGATTCCCCTTCTAAACAATAACTTCCACACACTCCCCTCCCATCCCATCAATCATCACCAGATTTTCAATAAAGGTAAGTGTCATGTATTCTATTCCTAGTAGAGTAGTAATTGTGCATGTCTTCTTCAGTTTGTGTGTATTAAAATTAATATTTCATGTGATAATTTTTTTTTTTTTTCATACTTTGGGGTGTCTTGCACGGATTAATATGATTTCCATTATTTCTTATGGGGAAAATTAATTCGCCTTACGATGAGCTCTCAGGAACAGATTAATATCGTAAGGCGGGGGTCCACTGCACATGGAAATCATATTTTTTCTGCCGATTTTTGCTATAGCAAAATTCTCGTCCATCATTTAGTGTAGTATATATCTCTTCACCTTAACTTAACCCTTTCAGGGTCCAAGGCCAAAATCGGAAGGGGTGCCCCGGTGTCCAAGAAATTTTTGAAAAAAAAAAAAAAAAATATTTGTTACAGAATTAAAGAGTATATTTTTGTGAAGGTAATAAAACAAAACAAAAATTCTGATCAGTACTTACCGAGATACAGAGGCGAGAAGTTGACCCAAAATGACCGGGTGGCGACAACATCGGTGATTTCCGCATACTCGCATTTCTTTATTTTACGTTTTTTTTATACTTTTTTCTTTCTTTTCTAATTTTTTTCTTTTCCTAGTAACATTTGTGGCCTGTGAGACCAATACTGTATATAATGTATATATATAAACTCACTGTATTGAGCACAATAACCACACTTAAGTTAGTATTATAATATTGTTTACCACTTGTTTATTACAATAAACATGCACAAATCTTGTATAATACTATGTTCTATCATATATTTACATATGTACAATCACTGGACATGTTTCTAGAACTGCTGCAGCTTGTGGAACTCCTTGAAACAAGGCACCATGCACAGAGGTACCTTACATTCCTCGCACATAAACCGAGTGTCTTTGCATCTTTATTGCCATTGTTTTGTTTGTGAACAGACAACATACCTCTTCTGAGCAAATTTCTTCTTAGTTGCAGGAAGCTGTATTATGAAGTGATCACCTTCCCTCCTCAAACGCTTGGGTATATCCTGAGGAGTTCGAGGACAGTTTTGTATAGCAGGTGTTGTTACCTGGTATTTCATTATGAGTTGTCTGACAACATACAAACAAAATTCACCATACAGTGCTCTGTTGCCAGTCTTCACTTGGTACATATTATATGCATTGAGCATTGAAATGTCCATGAGATGGAAGAAGAGTTTCATGTACCACTTGTAACTCTTACGAACACAATCAACAAAGCCAATCTGCATGTCACATTTGTCAACCAAGCGCATGTTTTGTGTATAATCAATCACTGCCACTGGTTTTCGAATACGTTCATTAGTCACTCTATCAACTTTGCCACTGTCTTGCATTTCGTTACGGTGAATGGTTGTCAACAATGTAACATCTCGTTTGTCATGCCACCATAATGCCATGATATCATTGGCAGTAAACACCTGCACCTCTTCACCACGAGTGCCTGCATTGAACCTGGGCATATGTTTATGATTAAAACGCACTGCCACACACATCTGTCATGTTCACTCGCAAGAAATCACTGAGTAAAGGGCTTGTGTACCAGTTATCAGTATATAATGTATGCCCCTTACCAACATAAGGTGCCATCATGCTTCTCACTACATCACCTGAGATACCCAATAACATCCTAGTATCTTTCAATGTTTTACTTCCCGTGTATACAACAATATCCAATACCAGGCCACTGTCACAGTCACAGAGTACAAACAGTTGTATACCAAAGCGTTTCCTCTTGCTCGGTATATACTGTTTGAACGACAGTCTACCTTTGAACAAAATCAAAGACTCATCAAGTACAAGATTCTGGAATGGATAAAAGTACATGTTGAACTTTTGCTTCAGATACATAAAAACATTTCTAATCTTATATAACCTGTCACTTCTGTCAGGCCTTGTTTTGTCAGAGAAGTGCAACATACGTAACAGTAAGATAAACCTGTTCACCGGGATGATTTCACTGAAGACCAGGGTACAAATTAACCAATCTGTGGACCAGTATGATTTTATATTATGCTTATAGACATGAGGCATAAGCATTATTGTTGCAAAAAGCAAGTACATTTCTGCAACAGTTGTCTCTTTCCACCGGTGTAGTCATGACTGTGGTGATATGATCGCATTTGCCATGGTGTACTCAAAATACTTGTTACTTTCCCTGACAGTAGTTTCCATCAAGGGCTGGTCAAAGAATAGTTCAAAGAATTCCAGTTCATTTGCAGTGTTTCCAAGGGGACAAGTAGGTAGAATTCCACTTTGAGAGTCATCAAAGTGGTGGGGCTTGGGAACAAAATTGGGATTTTGCTGCCAATCCAAGATACGGTTTGCTGGTGGATACTGGACATCATAAGCTGGTTGTGCTGGTAGTTGTGGTTATGGTGGGCTGGTGGCTGACGCTCTGCTTTGTCCTTGAGCTGAGGAGTCAGCAGCGTGGGTCCCAGCCTGGGCTGGTGAGTCATGCATGGCCGTGGCACTACCATCACCACTGCCACCACCTACTGATGCCTGTGGTCTATCCATGCCAAGTGTAGCCACATCATCCTCACTTTCACTGTCTATTCCTGGTGTAGGGCAACGGGATGTACTCCGGGATGTACTCTGTCCCCTGGGCACTGCATAGGGAACACTACCTGAGCACATGCAGTGGCGTATATACTGACGCTTCACTGGAGAATATGTTTCCTCACTATCACTACTCAAATGATCGTCAAGAGCAATAAAATCACAATCCACGTCACTATCATCATCATTACTGAAGTCAGAGGTCTGGCCATGCGAAAATAATAGTTTTCTCTTGCGATGAGGTACAACTGAATGTGACTGAGGCGTGCCCACACCAGAGGTAAAAGGTTGAGGATTGTCAGGGTTTTCTGCACTATTATCGATATCCTGGTCATTCCTTTCGGTCACTAACTGATCAAAGCCAAAGGATTTGTCTTTATTTCCATTTCCATCAGAGTCAGAACTATCAGATAGGAAGAGGAGAGTCCCAATTTTCCTTGGAGTGAGAGCTGCCTTGTGACGAGGCATGGTGAACAAAGGTAACTGAACCGGCATTCCCACAATTCTATGCAGGCGCCTAGAATTTTTGTTTATGGCGCACACACACCATGCAGACCCGTTCTCTCACATGTAGGCCTACCAGCCTTTTCGCGCTAAATTTGATGCCGCTAGAATTTTGGCGTAGATCTACAGTTTGGACCCTGAAAGTAAAGCCGTAGATCTACGACACGGACCCTGAAAGAGTTAAAGGAGGCATCTTGATGCTGGTGAGGGAATCTTGAGCCAAGGAATTGAAGCTACCATACTCTCCACCTCCTTTGATCATTTCCCTATTCCCCAGGCACTTTTATAACCCTTCTGAGTTTAGCACTTTCCCATTGAATATATGCACCATAATAATATACATATACAATAATACATCCTCCAAATCCATTGTTACAATTAGCTTACTCTTAAGGTCTCAACTGGGAGATGGCCAACATGTTGAAAAAAAAAAATGACATTTTTTATGAGGCCTAGTACTGTGCAGCTGTCATTTGGTGAACGTATTAGAATAAAAGAACAACTAAGAGAGCAAATTTATAGGGTTTCCCTAAAATGATGCTTATAAACTTGTTTCATTTAATTTGATTAGATTTAAATTAGTATACACATAAGATTTCTTTGAAACAAATGTATAATTTATATTTGCAGGACAGTGAGATGGATGAGCATCTGCGTCAGCCATATGAGGGCCAGTTGATAAAATTTACCAATGTTGTCAAGGGTTGGCAGGCACGCTGGTTTATTCTTAATCCTGAAGTTGGAACATTGGAATATTATTTGGTAAGTGATTGTATGATTTTTTTTTTTTTTTTTGCATAACTGTGTTAATTCTTATTTTTATACAGGTACAATACCTCTGTGTGCAAATAAATACAGGTCGGCCATCACTACTCCATCAGTCAGCTATCTAGCTCCATTAGTAATCCGGCACTAATTTCAGCTAGCATAATTTCGAATTTCATCATTATACTGACTCAGAAATTGTGCAGATGGTAGTAAATCCACAGCAGCAAGCCAGTGGAGGAGAAAGCTGTGATGAAACTGAGGAAGATGTAGCAGAAAGAGTCTATTGATAGGTTAATTAAGTGTATTCTAACCTAACTATTCTGTAATCCAGCAAACTCGCTAATCTGGCACACTACAGTCCCAATGATGCCAGTACAGTGTATGTCATAGTGGTACCATAGTGTATAGATAAGGTATATCAAGATAAATGTGATGCTAAACAAGAAAGAAGTGATAAGTAGAGCAGCAACCTGAGTTGTGAATAGTTACCAGCAATTGCCAGGATTCTACCATGCAAGTAGGTTCATTTTTTTAATAATCTTCCTACATCTGTTAGTCTATCTTACATATAGTCATAGTGATATCATAAAGTACTTTTTTACTGAAATACGAAAAGTTGTACATTCTTGTGGAAATACAAAAAGTGTTCAGTTTGTGGCAATATGATAAAAATTGTAATTTGTCAATGAACACAATATACATAACAGAAAGTAAATACTCTTCTAGTATACCTTACAGTAGGCATACTACCATAGCTAATAACAGTGACACCTTAGTATTCAGTGTGGTGGAGTGAAAAAAAAAAATACAATTTTTTTGTGGAAGTACAAAAAGTGCACAGTTTTTGTGGAAATCCGAAATGTTGTCAGTGGTGCCGTATATATAACAGAACTTCTACCAGTTGTTCTTCATAGTTAACAGCAGTGATACCATTAATATTTGGTGTGGGGAATTTAGAAAAAATCTTGAAAATGTTAAATATAGTGACATATGAAAGTGAAAGCCAAAATCTCAGGCTGTAAAAGAGGTGCCAGCAGTTGCCAGTTCACCCAACAGGCAAGTCAAATACAGTGGAACCTCAGTACTCAAAGAGCTTCCTACTCAAACATTTCAGTATTCGAACTCTTTGTTCGGTAAAAATTCGCTCAGTAGTCGACCATTTGCTCGGCACTCGACCAAACAAACACAACCTGCCAGAACTTTGTTGTAAACTATTTTTATGTTTCTTCACTTTTTTTTTTTTTATAAAATAAAATAAAATACGTATTTATTTCTTTGTTAAGGTTACAGTGTGCATTTACATATAGTATGAATGGAACAAAGAAAGCTGCTATCATGCCTAGGCATTTTGGGCAGACTTAACCTAATACTTATAGATTACTTAAGTCTAGACAGGTGAAGAGTGGTAGAATACAAACAGTCAATCTTCACTCTACGTATTGATAATATGAGGTAGTACAATTTATGACAATCTTACATTTTTAAGTATGAAATTAGGTTCTTATACAATGGTAGAATATGAATGCAGTGGTACCTCGGGATACGAACTTAATTCATTCCAGAAGGCTGCTCAAGTGCCGATACCGAACGAATTTGTTCCCATAAGGAATAGTGTAAATTAGATTAATCCATTTCAGACCCCTAAAAATACACTTACAAAAGCACTTACAATGGACCCCCGGTATTCGATATTAATCCGTTCCTGAGAGCTCATCGAATACGAAAATATCAAAAAGCGAATCAATTTTCCCCATAAGAAATACAATAGAAATCAAATTAATCCGTGCAAGACACCCAAAAGTATGAAAAAAAATTTTACCACATGAAATATTAAGTTTAATGCAATAGAATAATTACAATAACAATAGAATAATAACAATAGAATAATTGACACTTACCTTTAATGAAGATCTGGTGATGATTGATGGGATGGGAGGAGGGGAGAGTGTCGAAGTTATTACTGTTTAGAAGGGGAATCCCCTTCCATTAGGACTTGAGGTAGCAAGTCCTTTTCCAGGGTTACTTCCCTTCTTCTTTTAATACCACTAGGACCAGCTTGAGAGTCACTGGACCTCTGTCGCACAACAGATCTGTCCATAGAGCTCTGTACCTCCTGTTCCTTTAAGATTTGTCTAAAATGGGCCACAACATTGCCATTGTAATAGTCACCAGCACGGCTTGCAATAGCTGTGTTAGGGTGCTTTTCATCCATAAAGGTTTGCAGTTCAACCCACTTTGCACACATTTCCTTAATTTTTGAAGTAGGCACAATGGATTCCACAACTGGCATAGGCTTCTCAGGGTTAGCCCCAAACCCTTCAAAATCTTTCTTAATTTCCATACTAATTCTCACCCTTTTTACCACAGGGTTGGCACTAGAAGCTTTTTTGGGGCCCATGGTGACTTACTTTGCAGAAACAAGCACCAAAAACAGTGATAATATGGAATGTACCGAATGTATCCTTAGATGCACGCACACTGCCTGGCTTGTAAACACTGGCACACACGGGGCAGTTCAGGCCACACGTGGACACATCTTGTACGAATCGCATCGAATACCAGGTTTTCGATCGGATACTGAGGTGAAATTTTTGTGTTAAAATGAATCGAATACCGGATTTATCGGATACTGATGCCATCGAATACCAGGGGTCCACTGTACATAATTCAAGTTTTGAGCTGTTCATATCCCGAGGTACCACTATATTCTATTTCACTTTTATTATTAATATGAGGTAGTACAATTTATGAAACAATCAGTCATACATTTTTAAGTTTGTAATTAAGTTCATTTACTTTGTTATTAATACGTGTTAGTACAATTAGTGATACAAACTTAATTATTAGTAAAAATGGCTTAATAGTTAAGGGATAATAAAGTATTTATGGGAGTTGCTTTGAATTTGGTTGGGGTTTAGCATGGTGTGGGTAGGTTTGTTATTGAAAGATGAGATGATTTTTGAGTATGATCCTCAACTGATTTGTGGGGAGGGGACCTCTTGTGCTTCAAGCATAGAGTTCCAGTTCTTAGGGCCCTTTATGTGCATTGCATTTTTGCAAAGTGTGAGATGGACACGAGGGATATCAAAAAATGTTTTCTGCCTTGTGTTATGCCTGTGTGTTCTGTTGAAGCTGTCTAGAAGTTTGAGTGAAGGGTTGATATTGGAGTTTAATGTTCTGTATGTGTAGTAGGCACAATAATAAGTCTGTATGTTATGGATATTAAGTAAGTTCATGTTTTTGAAGAGAGGTGGGGTGTGTTGTCTGGTACTGGAGTTTGTGATCATCCTCACTGCTGCTTTTTGTTGGGTTATTAACCCCTTCAGGGTCCAAGGCCCAAATTTGAAGTGGTGCCCCAGTGTCCAAGAATTTTCAAACAAAAAATTTGTTATTTTTTCTTATGAAATGGTAGAGAATCTTTTTGTGAAGGTAATAAAACAAAAAGTACGAAATTTGATGGAAAATTAACGAAATTATGCTCTCGCGAATTTTGATGTGTCAGCGATATTTACGAATCGGCGATTTTGCCGACTTTGACTTCCATTTTAGGCCAATTACATTATTCCGGTCAATCAAATTCTTAGCTATTTCACTAGTATTACTTCTGTTCTATCAATTGAGCACAAGAAATCGCCAAGTCAACTGTTTCAACTACAAAATAAAGTGATCGGAAATTGCTAATTTGGCCAATTTAACACAAAGTTCAAAATATTCCAATTTTAAAATGGGGTCCAGAATAAAGAATGTAGGTATTCCTGGAACTAAACTAACATTTCCTCTGTTCATTAGTTATGTTTTGAGGCTTTACAAATAAATTCCATTTTGATTTTTTATTCACATAATGAATTTTTATTCACACCAAAAAAATAGAAGATTTATTGTTATGCAATACTGTAATAAATGTATAAATATCATTACCATATTTGTGAATGTATATTAGACCCACCACCTATATGTTACTCACAATTATATCACACAAATGTTAAACCTAGGACCCAATCTAACTTTATTATTTTTTTAAATACACTACCTAACAGAATACTCCATTCGACTGAATGTACAGCAATGCAAGCAACCATATGACCTGTCTTTGTAATACTCATTTGTGCTTTATAGTTATCTGTTTACAATAATGTTTTATCACTGATTTCATCATTGCTTAGTTAATCTTAAGTTAATTTTAAGCCAGCCCGTAATGCTATGCATATAAGTGGCTTTGGCATGCTGCTCTTACCTGTATTTTTTGTACCTCTGTATGTATGCTTAAATTACTAAATAAATAAATAAATAAATTTGTTTACTCTTGAATATCGGCAAAAATTTAACATTTCCGCTACTTTGAGCTCAGTTTCAAGCCATTTCCAGTGCTAAAACCAATCAAAATCATCTCTATTTCTGTAATATGTCTTCCATTCTATCAAATGAGACCAAGAAATCGCAAATACAACTATGAAAAACATAGGAAAAAACACTGCAAAGTTGCTGTTTTAATCGAAAAATCACGAGTTCAGTTTTTTTCTCTCATTATACAGAGTGTGCTGCAGGATCTGTTTTATGTGGTGCATGCATACCACATAGATGTATTCTCTCATATCTAGGCCCAAATGTACCACTCACAGTTTATCAGAGTGAGCTGAGCTCATGACGTAGATCTACGGTTTGGACCCTGAACGTAAAGCCGTAGATCTACGGGACGGACCCTGAAAGGGTTAAAGGTTTGAGGTGATTGACCATGGTAGATCCCCAAGCACAAATACCATAGGTGAGGTAAGGGCATATTAGAGAGTGACATAAGATAAGGAGGACCTGTTGGCATACATAGTATCATATCTTGGAAAGGATACCTACTGTTTTGGAAACTTTCTTAGTTTTATGTATAAACAAGTCACCATGGGACCTGAGAAGATTAGTGATAACAGCCATCCAAAAAGAAAATTGGTTGGGAAAAATTTGTTCGGTACCCAAACAGATCAGCACTCCAACAGCCTTCTGGA